TCAATGTATGATAGACTGGGTGTTTGGTAAAGACCCAATCTATTTCCAAAACTGTAATTTGGAGTGCTGTATCCTCACATAGTTGAAGAGCAAAAGGTGGAGTGCTTATAATCAGTGGTGTCTTACAGCTGCTATCAGTCAGACAGCTTTTTATGGAACCCCGTGAAAACCTTCCATTAACCTTTCCAGTTAGATGGAACATTGATGTCTTAGATACATAGTTACTGGTGCTGTAGGTGTAGCTTAGTTTCAAGGGAAAAGCAAATGCTTAGCATGCACAAGGTCTTGGGTTCAATCCTAGCACCAAAATAATTAAATAAAAAATAAAATGAGCACATTAAAATGTTATTACTTATCAGCAAAAGTTGTGATCACATATATTCTTTTTTTTTTTTTTTTTTTTTTTTGTGTCTTTTCCATGGTTTCAATAGCTATTGTTTAAAGTTGAAATTAGAATTTCATGTGACTAGATTGCCCCAGTGGCCCTGTGAACACAGGCCTACTCCATTGGTGGAAGGCAAAGAAATTCACAAGGTAATATACAACTTATGGTCTGAGAGAAACAGGGCATTTGCCTTTTTGAGACAGGGTCTCCCTGTAGCCCCAGCTGTCCTGGAACTCACTCTGTAGACTAGGCTGGTCTCGAACTCTCAAAGATCCACCTGCCTCTGCCTCCCAAGTGATGGGATTAAAGACGTGTGCCACCACGCCCAGCAATCACGTATATTCTTAATAGTAAACAGAAATGCTAAAAAACCACCTATTTCCAACCCCAGGTAGTAATGGGAATCTTCAAAATATTTGTTAATCTCAAAGATCATGTTTTAGGCTGACACGATGGCTTATTCAGTCAAAGTGCTTCACACACACACACTTCTGATGACCTGTTTGCCCCCCAGAACTGTAATCCCAGCACTCCTACGGCAAGATGACAGGGGGAGATAGAAAAATTGCCTGGAGACTTGTGGGTCAGCTAGCCTGAAGTGCACAATACTGCAGAAACAAGAGACAGGGAAGGGGAGAACTTAGACCCCAAAGTTGTCCTCTGACCTCCACACATATGCCATGGCACACAGGTACCCATTCATATGTTCTCTCTCTGTCTCTGTCTCTCTCTCTCTCTCTCTCTCTCTCACACACACACACACACACACACACACACACACCACTAGTAATAATAAAAATTTTAAATATGTATGTAAAAACTCAAGTTTTAGTTTGTACTCCCTTTTCTAATAGTTACCTAATTTGGTGTTTCAACTTTCTCACTACGGGAAAACCTTTTCTTTCCTTATTTTTTCTTTTTTTCTTTTGTGATAGGGTCTCATCTCATGCATCCCAAATGGCCTCAAGCTCATAACATGGCCAAGAATGACTTGAAAAAAATTTTTTTGATTTATTTATTTTTATTTTATGTGTGTAAGTGTTATGCCTGCATGTGTGTAAGCGCACCTGTGTTGTGCAATGCCTGCGGAGGACAGAAGAGGGAGTCATATCCTCTGGAATTGGAGTTATGGACAGTTGTTAGCTGCCATGTGTGTGTTGGGATTCAAAGCCAAGTCTTCTGCAAGAACAGTCAGTGCTCTAACACTGAGCCATCTCTCCAGTCCCAAAGAATATCTTTTTTTAAAAAAAGATATTATTTCTTATTTATTTTATGTATATGAGTGTATTGCCTGAATGTATGTAGTTGCACCTGTGTCATGCAATGCCTGCAGAGGTCAGAAGAGCATGCTGGGATTCCCTGGAACTGGAGTTACAGAGAGTTGTTAGCCACCACCATGTGGGCGCTGGGAAAAGAACACAGGTTCTCTGCAGCCAGTGCTCTTAACTACTGAGCCATCTCTCCAGCCCCATAATCTAACTTTTTGTATTGTTTTGTTTTGGTCTTTTTGAGACAGGGTCTCCCTGTAGCCCCTGCTGGCCTGGAACTCACCTTGTAGACCAGGCTGGCCTTGAACTCACAGAGATCCACCTGCCTCTGCCTCCTGAGTGCTGGGACTGCAGGCATGCACCACCACACAGGCCCTAAATAATTTTTAATTTCACAGCACATGCTACATTAGTTTTTACACTTTCTGCCTACGGTCATTGGTGATGTATTAGTGAGCTTTCATTGATTTTGGTGTGTTTGTTGTTGCTACTATAATAATTTTTTTCCCTCACTGAGTGGTACCGGGAATTGAATCCTCAAGAGTAGACTGCTTACTAAAAAAATCCCCTGCCAGGCGTGGTGGCACACACCTTTAATCCCGGCACTTGGGAGGCAGAGGCAGGTGGATCTTTGTGAGTTCGAGGCCAGCCTGGTCTACATAGTGAGTTCCAGGACAGCTGGGGCTACAAGGAGACCCTGTCTCAAAAAAG